CCTTGGTTTAAGGTTGGTTCCAGTTGTGGCGTGGTTTCGAGTGGGTTTAGTGGTAGTTTAGGGTTGGTTTGGGGTCCAAAGAGTGGGTTTAGGGGGTTTTACATTCTTTTGGGTTCGCTGAGGGTTTGGGTTGTGTTTGCCTGTTATCATCACAAAGCCGAAGAACGGCCTATAGAGAAGCGGGGGCCAAAAGACACTCATGGAGAAAGTGCGGCCTGTTGCTTGAAACCGCTGTAGCATCCAGGATTTGTTGCGCCGGAAGTGAACATATCTATATATATATATGTATATGTGTGTGTGTATGTAAATATGTATATATATATATATACACACCTATAGATATATATATATATATAGAGAAACAAGAGCCACGCCACTTTTTGAGATGCAATATGATGCAATTTGGTCCTCACAGCCTGGTCCTAATGCTTTTCACAATGCACCCCCGTCCCATAAACCCATTTGTTCACTTGGTCTAGGGAACCAGCACCCAATTTTTCTGGGGGACGGCCGCCTCTGCCCTCAAAAGCGCAGGGACAGAGCCAGAGGCGCCCGGGGGAGTTCGGATTGGCGGCGTTGCCATGCGCCTGTTCTGTTTGGCGTCTAGATGTTCCGATGCCCATTCTTGACTTGGTGACTGCAAATGCAGTGCACTCATGATGGGACCAGTACGTACCACCTTGCATGCAACAATCGAGTTGCTTCAAAAGTGGCACAGCATGCACTTTGGATATTGCAAAGGAATTGTCGACATTCACGCATCATCATAAAGTTCCTCGCTTTTGTAAGTTGAATCAAGCCAAGCACACCTTCGTCAACCCTGTCGAGATAGAAATTGAATGTTTTTCCTTCTGCCAACGCCTGCCCGGATCAAGAACATATTGCTGGTTGGGAATCTTACTGAAGGCGCGAGGCAATGAATATTTGGTTTGTGTGATATTTGCAAGTCACATGTCCAATCAAAGAGGCTTGTCAATGCACACATTGATCTACATGGAGAGGCGACAGATACAGATAGATAGAGAGAGAGAGAGAGCCAGACGGTCGCTCGTTCAGAATCTTGGACCCCTATTTTGATAGATCACTTTGAATATAATATGTTGAACGAGAAAGCAAAGGAATCGAGCTTAACAAACTTACTGCTTGCATGTATGTAAAGCGTCTAATAAAAACAGGCTGTTCCATACGTCCGTTATCCTCTGTTTCTTGATGTGGGATTTGTCAAATCGCCGGCCTTGGGCTATGCTTTGTCCAGAGTCGGTCGGGCGCAGCGCAGCTATTTCAGGAGCACACAAGGCAAGGAGAAAGGCAAACCAAAATGTAGTTCTCCATTTTAAGCCGCAGTTTCCCCCTTGTTGGCGGTTTTCACGTAGGGATGAAGCAGGATTTTTGCGACGAAAAGCCTCCACTTTGAACAGGGGGTGTGGATGTGCTCCCCACATGTCTCAGGTTTGAGGGCTCTGACTTCCGACATTTTTGGTTCGAAATGAAAATCACCTCCCCCAGGCCCCCAGGCTAGCATGGCTTGGACCCTCAAGACGTGGCTCCATTTTTCCAGAGGTTTTCATTTGGGAGCTTCCGACTGTGAGTGAGTGAGTGTAACCAGGAAAGGGCCTTCATCCATTTTCCATGTGTAAATGTTTTTCCCTGTTGGTTTATATAAAGGAATCGATCATAGTCGATCACTACTGAAAATATTTGTTTTTCCAGGGGGCTTAAGCAAATGGAAGATGTTAGTCTGAGTGAGTGTAACCAGGAAAGGGCGTTCATCCACGTCTCACAACTCAAAGCCAAGACGAGCGAGTAAGACTCATTGATGTACCCGTCGAATTAATCAACCTGCTGTTGATGTTCAGTTCCTCAGGAAGGAACCCACGGCTTGATGGCTAGCTGGTAGCGGATCCTTGGAGATTTAACTTTTCGGTTGAAACAGGTGGGAGTTAGCGAATTGGACCCACAAAAAGTTAATGTTTCGGTTGAAAGAGGTTGGTTTTTTCCGCATCGGACCCACAAAAAGTTTGAAAGAAATGGGGAGGGGTCTCGCCAGCATTCTTGCCGACTTGCCCCCCATTTGCTTCTTGACGGAGCCTTCAGGCGGAGACTGGCCAAGCGTGGCGGGGCGCCCAGCTGTGTCAAAGGGAGGCCCCCTGACGTTTCAACATGGGGAAGCCCTTCAGATCAACGGGGGGGGATCACCTCCGTAATTATTTTTCAAAGCCTCTTGGTTTTGGGGTATTTGAAAGGAAGCCAAGATACACCAATGTGTTGTACTTCTGCTCTTTTTCAAGAAGCCCCCCCCCAGCACCAGCACTCGCCCGTACCCCCTCCCGAATTCCCAGGTCGCAGCCGTGGCACTGGGAAGACGCGTGCCGCCCTGGCATGTGGCATGTCTTGCAGCCGGGGGTGGCATGGCAACTCATGGTTGTTGTTGGGCAACTTGTTTTTTCTGCTTATTGCGATTTAGTGGGACATCCCCACTTAACCGCTAAAAAACAAGTTTTTGCTCCCCTTCCAACGTCAACCATGAACTGCCAGGCAACCCTTGCCTGGTGATTTGGAGTGAGTTGAACCGTTGGTTCTAGTAAAAGGTAAATGGGAAACCCAATCCAAACCACCAATGGGAAGGAAGCCGCAACTGGCAACCCGTCCTGGGCAAGCCGAGCACCGTATTCGAACAAAAACTCTTTCCTACCGGGGCCCGGTGCGATGCGGCAGTTCTTTGCGGCCGCTTTGGCTCATGGCATCACAATTGCAGTCACAAACAGTCACAAACAGCAGTTTGAACTTGTCTGGCCCGTCCGTTCAGGAAGTGAGTAGGCCTTGCTTTTTCACAGTGCCTCCGCAGCTGCAATTGCAACCAGAGCCTTCAAGATGAGTGTGCACCTTTGCACCCTGCATCATAGAATATGTTGCTTGGCAGCTCTTTCTTGCTAGAGCGGCACGGGTCCAGGCCGTCGCTGATGCTGTTGCAATGAATGGGACTGTCAATATGAAGTCCTAAACAAAGATCGAAGGTACCTCAGCTTTTGGAAGATCAACTGGCCAGTCCGGGTTTTTGTTCTGGAGCTACAAGTTTTTGCGCGCCTACGGCGGGAGAGCGCGGAGCATAGATTCGGCGACTCGTGTGGGCTTTCGAGGAGTTGCCAATCGCCCTCCTGGAGCCCTCCTCCATGGTTCGATGCACTGACACCCGATTAAAATCCCAATAGGGGCCCCCCCAATTTTTCAATAGGGGCCAATAGCGACGAATAGGGTCCGGGATAGGCAGGGGTCCATGAGGGGCTAATAGGCAGGCCTCTGACAGTAGAAGTCCCTCGGTTGCTCTTGAGTCTCCGGCGTCGCTGCCAGGGAGCCGCGACTGGTGGTACAGCCAGGAGCTGCTCGGGAGTGGTGTCCAAATTGAACAGAATCAACATCTGATGGGGGAATGGTTTGTTGTTCCCTTATATATATCCACCCCCTTGCAAATGGATTTTTGTTATTTGCGGTAAGCCATTTTCCTTTTTATGGGGAAGTCAGATTAAATGGAATTGGCCCCCCCACCCCCCTCCCGCTTAAGGTAGGGGGGATATACTGAGATACTGGTAGAGGTGTTGCCCTTAGCGACACCTTCAGCCCCAGAAAGCGTCCACCGGGGAAATCCTTGTGACCCTGTCTCTTTTGTAAGGGTTTGGGGCTGCCCTGATGCTTCCCGCGAAAGAATCTGAACCACGGGATGAAACGGCTTTTCTTTCCAAAGGACTCCTGTGGATGGACGCAAAAAAAAAGCATTTCGCTCTCTTGAGAAACCCCTTTCTTTCCGCTTTGATTCCACGAAAATGCCTAGGTCCCCCAGCGATTGGTGCCCTTTCTCAGCCTGTTTTGGGGGAGGGTTCCCCTACAATAGACGTCCAGCAAAAAGTTGGTACCCTTATTCCAACCTCTCCACTGGCGGACCTAGTTGTATTTCCGCTTGGCCCAAAAAGGGGTCTTCCTTCGGAAGGGGAACACAGAGCCCAAAAAGGGTCCCAGGACTGGAGCCCATGGGACTGGAAGGCAGGCTTTAGAGATGCCCAGACCCACGCGCGGCTTGCGCCCCTTTTGATTGCATCAGCAAAAGAGAAATGCTTTTGGCTTGGCTTGTTTTTGTTTCAATTGTCCTTTTGTAGTGTAGTGCTTGTCTTGTTTCATTTTTATTTGGCGGTGCTGGGTTGGTTTCAAGTTCCTTGGGGAACAAGTTGGTTAGCTGACTGTATGGTCTTCTGCTCTCACGTAGGTTTAGTTGTTTCATGCGTCTTGAAGAAAATTGGGAAGCTCAATATGACTGCATGGCATGTAGGAAGTTGGCATGCTTCCTGGAAAGAAGTAGTTGGCCAACTGACTGCATTGTCTTATGGTCTGATAACATTTGTTTCAGGTTTCTTGGGCAAAGAAGTAGGTGGCATCCTCAATCGCTGGCATTGGCCCATGGAGCCAGTGGCCATGCGCTCTTTGGTGACAGACTCTGGCGCCAGGCTACGTGGCATTGGCGCCGAGACTGACTCGCCCAGAAAGAGCCGCAGGTTTTTACAGCTTGCTGAATTAGCAGTTGCACTTCCAGCGTTTTTTCTTCAAGTCTGGGCTTGTCAACCTTTTGCCTGCTGCTGAAGCAAGATGCTGCTCAAGAAGGAAGAGGTGCCAGGTGTTTGCTTTGCCTCCCATTCACCGGGTTCTTTCTCTATCGTGTTTGTCGAGCGCGTTCTGCCTTTGTGTTGATCAACCAACTACATCAGCGGCACTGCTGTTGCCAGTGTCCATTCCCACCATCGTTGGCTGTGCGTCAAATCTATTCACTCCATTCGACTCTCATTTTGTTTCTTCCTTGGCTCCCTGCAAACAGTTTAAAGCCATCCCGAAAAAAGACCTTTGCTTGCACCACACAGGGCCCAGACCTGTCAGGAGGTTCCCTTAAACATCAATTACCCGGGCAAGGTAAGAGTTTGGTATCGTAGAAAGGCGTAGAAAGTAGCAGTTTCGCCCAGGTCGATCCTGTCAGAGCCTGAGCAGCAGGTTTTGCTGACTTATAGTGATGGCCTTTGCTAGGAACCAACATTTGACATGAACCAATGTCGTTGTGTGGGAACCTAACCTTCCAGTTGCTTAAGAATATGTGTTATTTGCCCCTGTTGGTTTTAAATAGAATCTATCACTACTGGATTTAATATTTTTCATGCGGCTTGAACGAATGCAAGTAGTTCCACACGTTTAACCCGCTCACCGCGGCTTACAGAAGTTCTTTTCTTCGCACCCAATGTGCCCCAAAGTGGGGGGGGGGGCAGGGGGGGGCTTTTCTTTTTTGAGGGCACCCCCTTGTGGCTTTGCAGGAAACCCGCCAGGGTTTAAGGGTCCCCCCACCAGGCTTTTTCTGGTCCCCCCACCAGATTCTAATGGTCCCCCCCCATGTCTCTTTCCGATCCAACTATCATGAAGCTGTTCCTGTTCGCTCTAACTGAACCGACCTAGCACCCTCATGATATCTCAGGAGAGCTTTATGCTATGAGAGTAGCCCGCGCTATTTTCCAGTTGAGCTATTTTCCAGTTGAGTTGGAACAGGGTGTGTGTGTGTGTGTGTCTGTATCTTGTACATTTGCTCCCAATGCTAGACTAGACTTCAAACTCAATCAAAAAGCTACTTCGGGCTAGTCTGGTTGAGATTAAGAGTGGACACCCCTCACAGCGCGCATTCACAGTTTGGGGTTGGCAACCCGAAGTTGAGACCTTGAGCTGGTGCCTTTTTTGATATGAGTCGGAAGCCAAAAGGAAGACCACCAATTTTGGAGGCTCATGAGACAGACCCATGAGACGTTTCTCTCGACTTCGGGGCACCCAGTCTTTCAGAGTTTTTCCTTCTGGCTCCCCCTTAGATCCCACCAAAACGGGGGTTCCCCAAAGAAGACGCATCCCTACAGTGGGCGGTTTTCGCCCTGCACGCGGCCCAAAACAAATCGGGCACGCAGAGGTCTTGCCCTTCATGAAGGGCGTTGCTCTGTCCAGGCTCAACTGCATGGAGCAGGCGCTGGACAGTGAATTCCAAACCAGCTCAGCGAATGGCGTCTTGAAACTCAGGGACCCCAAAGAGGATGGGTATGCTAAGGGGCCTCCCTTTAAAGTCACTTCAAAAGGGCTAGCCTCCAGAAACTCCGCCCGGCTTCTTGCGAGTGACGTCCACGCATGGCAGTGCTTCCAGTAGCCCAAAAGGCTCCACGCCAGGCTGCTGACTGTTTGGAGGAGGCGATCCAGATGAAGCCCGGGCTGAAACAGGCCGGCGCAAGTTTCGCTTGAAGGTCCCTTGAGGTCCCTTGACTGCTACTGCGTTGGATCTTTAGACTTGAACTTTTTGGTTGAAATCAAATCGGGTTGTCCGAACTAAACCCCCAAAAAGTCAAACACCTTTTTGCAGGAGGGTCAACAGCAACCAAGGTCCCAGGAATGCATCTCTTGACCAGGCAGCTGCGCAAACCATTTTGGGGCGCCTCTGGGTCGCACGAGTCGAGTGGCCAGGTTGATCCGTTTCTTCTTCCATCGGGGGCTGAGAGTGGGGAGGCTTAGGTGCAGTGGCTTCAAGTGCCTTTTGAAATGGACCTGGCGCCCCCAAAAAAAAGCAACAAAACAACAACAACCCCCACCCCACCCCAACCACAACACTAACAAACAAACAACACACCCCCACAAAAACCAACAACACCCCCACGACGATCCGAGTCTTCGACCGATCTCCCGGAGGCCCACCTCGAGTTTCAGCAAGCTGCCGCTGAGCTTGGGGACACCCAGCGCTGCAGGCGGGGATTTGGGCGGGCGCGGGATGTTTGGGCGAGGGCAAGATTGTTGGGGCGCCAAACGGTTTTGCTTGTTTTGTTGTTTTTTTTGCTTGTTGTTTTGAAAGGGAAACCAAAAGGAACACCAACCAGTATTGTTATTATTAGTTTTGGGTTGGGTCCCCTTAAAAGACACACCCGAATATGACATTACGTGTGGCTTCCTTTTGGTGCTCCTTTAAAACCACTCCACAACAGGTACCCTCAAAAGACGACACATCAGTTTCTCATGAAGCCCAAAGTGGAATCGGATCTGTGCAATGTCTTTCGGGAGTTTCTCCGGGCCCTTTGTTCAACACGCTGGTGACCGCAAAAATATGTCAAGTGAGTTACCAATGTACAATTGTTTGAATGCATGTTGGGGTATGATCGCGTCTTTGGAGTGCGAAGGGGGGTCTCTTTAGTCTAGCGAAGGTCCCCCGTTCCTTCCCCAAGTGCCTTGGCCGGGGGAAGGGAGGGTGGGGAGGCCGGCTATGAGCCTTTTGCATTGAACCCGGGCTTCAGGGGTCGGAGGTCACGGCAACTTTGACACCTGGTTGGCTTAGACGTCCGGTAAAGGGGGTGGGGGTGGGGGTGGGGTGGGGTGGGGTGTGGGCGGGGATGGGGTGAGGTGGGGTGGTTCTTACCGCCTGTTTATTGATCTCTCCCTCTTGTTTGTTCGTGGGTTTTGTCCCTCCCTTTTGTTGGTCGGTCGCATCACCTCACCGTTTTGGCTTAGTCTTGTCCCATTTGCTTGGAAGTGTTTCCCCGGCACATCGACCTGCTCGCCTGTAAGGGGATTTGTTCGGTGCAGTGGGTACAGGTAGAACTGGTTTCCTGGTGGTAGTGCGAGCCGGGGTTGTACTTAGGCTACTTGCTTGGACAGAAGGGTGTTTTGTGTATGTTGTTTTGAGGGTGCCCTGTCGCTTGGTTTTAAAGGTAAACCAAGGAAACCACCACCTTTGGGTACCCGAATTTTAAGATGTGCCCCCATGCTGAGTCGGTGTGGCAAGACATGCCCGAGCAAAAAAGCAAAGGCAACAATTGTCTAGGGTAACTTCCCCATTCTTTCCAGGGATCCGAATCTTTCTAGAAAACCACCAAAAACCCTGGACAAATGGCGATCGGTTTTTGACAAGAACGATGGCTGAAAAAAATGGGGAATCAACCCCTAGACCTTTTGATCATTACCCCACCAAAAGGAACAACTCGCTGTCAAGCGGCTAAAAGAACCATGGCTGAAAAGCATGGAAAAGGGAAATGAAGCCCTAGAAATTGGTTGACCAGGCGGGTGGCCCAGCTCCTGGTGGACCATGGAGGTGCGCCTTGCTTGGAAGGGATGCCTCGTGTGCGCGGCAGGCCATGGAAGTTAATCAAAAGCATGGCTCTAGGAGTTGGTTCCTGTTTTTCTGGAGGTTTTCTGGGGGGGTTCTGGGGTTTATTTTCCTTTTCCATTCTTTTCAACCATCGTTCTTTTTAAAAACCGATCGCGGTTTCCGAACCCTGGAGTTCTGATGGTTTTCTGGAAAGATTCGGATCCCTGGAATGGGGAAGTGTTCCCTAGAATGGCCCCTTTGTATCGGAAAATGGTCCAAAGGACCTGGTAGGTTACATGTTAGTGGACCAGAGGGTAGCTTTGTCTGGTTTTCCTACCAAGACAGCCCCAAAACAGGGTGCCTTCAAAAGCAGAGAAAGCCATGTGTGCTTGCTTGAATTGCAAGTCACTTGGCCTGCTGTGACAATCACACAATTGGCGGAGTTGGCGACTTTTGGTTGGTTGGCTGAGTGTTGCTTGATGCTTGTTTTTTGCTGCCAAGCTGCGCGCTCCTTTGCAAAGCTTCGGGCTGCACCTTGAGGGTCAGAGCGCCAGAAGGGTCGGGAACCTGGCACAAATCCTGCGGGCATGCGAGAGCTTGGGGCGAGCAGTTTTTCGGGGTTCCCTTTAGCTTCCATTTGCTTTTTTTTTGTTTTTTTTCCCCCTGGTGCTTTTATCTATCACTACTGGAAACTTTAGAGCCTTCGGCTCACGCCGAGGGCCTCTCCCTTTCTCCTTCTTCCTCTCTCTCTCTTCTCCCTTCCGCCCTTTGTTCCCTCGTGCTCTTTCCATCTCTCTCTATGTCTCTCTCTCTCTCTCTCTCCTCCCCATCCTCTCTCTCTCTCTACCTCCTCTCTCTGCCTCTCTCTCCACCCCTCCTCTTTGCCCCCCTCTGTCTCCCCCCCTCTGTCTCCCTCTCTCTCTCTCTCTCTTCTTGCTACTGGCTTTCCCCTTGACTTTCCCGTCATGTCCTTTTCATGTCCCGTCATTTTCTCGGTATGTCCGCTTCATGTTCCATGTTTCTCCCTTTCATTGCCAGTCATTTCCCTACATCTCCCTTCGTGTCCTCTGGTTTCCTTGTCCTTTGTTTCTCTTTCATTCCCCCTTCACTCCCCCTGCATTTTGCATTCCTTTCCCCTTCATTTCCCTTTCAATTCCCCTTCGTTTCCCTTCCATTGCCCCTCGCTTTCCTGTCATTTCCCTTTCAATTCCCCTTCGTTTCCCTTCCATTTCCCCTCGCTTTCCTGTCACTTCCCTTTCAATTCCCCTTCGTTTCCCTTCCATTTCCCCTCGCTTTCCTGTCACTTCCCTTTCAATTCCCCTTCGTTTCCCTTCCATTTCCCCTCGATTTCCCTTCCTTTATTTCCCATTCATGTCCCCTTCATGCCCCCTTCATATTCCCTGCAACTCCCTTGCATGTCCTTTTCATTCCCCGGTATCTTGTCCGAAAAGAAGCGCGGTGGTTTGCAACGTGTTCGAAAAAAGGAGATGCCTAGCTCGTGGCAATCCGGCCACGCTACTGAAGGCAAGTCAGACTTTGCTGCATCGCAGGCTACTGGGTGAGCAGCCTGCAACGGCCGCTGCACTTTGACCCCAAGGCAAGGGATTGAAACCGCCATCGATTTCGGACATGTCTTGACAGCCAGTTTTGGGCAAAACCATGGGCGTTGACAGATTTCGGGTAGCGCTAAAATGAGGTTTAGTCTCAAGGGCGAAAGGTGCCCAATTCAGATCACCCGAATCTTCAGGCTCAGATAAAATCAGCTTGCAAGAAGGTAAGTTCACATCACCGATCCTTGCGGTTTTCGTTTTCCACTTTCCGGCCTTTGGCTCTCTGGCCTCGTGTGGGCGCCTCTGGGGCAGGATTGTCCAGCAGTCTTGGTTGTCGTTGGGAAACATTTTACATTTTTGCTTATCTTATTGTGGTTTAGTGGGAAATCACTACTTAACTGCTAAAATTTTAATGTTTGCTCCCCTTCCAACGTCAACCATGCAGTGCTCGGTGGGTGTGTTTGTTGCCTTGTGAGAGTTGCTTGCCAAGCAGGGGCACGTCTTAAGGAAGGAATCGCAGGCATCAGATCCCACAAATTCCAGATGAGTGCCACTCTCCAGATTTGGTTTTCAGGTGCGATCGCAGCCATGGCATGACCCTCGGAGATTCAAGCCCCTCGGCATCACAGCTGAAGTACCAAGAGAGCTACGGAGGCATCAGGGTTCTTGCGTAGGTCTAGATGGCCACGTTCACCGCGACTTGCACTGGTGGTCCAATTTGCCAAGCGGATCCAAGCGGCATGTTAAGTGCATGGCGTGGCTTAGAGCATCCAGTGCCGCGTGGCGCAGCCAAACCTGAGGCTTGTCCACGCCCTGGAGGACAACTTCGGCGTTTGGGGCCCCAGGTTCCCCACAAGCGGAGCCGCTGGCCAGCGGGTTGGTTGGAGGGGAGCTGGGGTATCCAAATTTGTCCTAAAGGAGGTCCCACAGCTAGATGCCGCGGTTCACCCCTTTTTTGGTTGGGAGGGTTCCCCTAAATCGACGTCCTGAAAAAAGTGGGTACCCTTACTCCAACCTCTCTACTGGAGGACCTAGGTAAAGGAGGGAGTAGAGCTACCAGGAGTCCTGTCAGAACCTGCTAGTAGGGGCAAGATGTTGTGAAGCGCCGATGTGCTAATCCATGCTAGTGCCGCATGTGTGATCAACAAAGCCAAAAACAACTCTAAAAGGCCACCCCCCCCCCAAACTTTCACAGACCAAAAAGCTGCCATTGCAAAAAGAGGGGAGGCCCCGCACCATGTTTTGACTTGTCCTCCATGAAGCACAAAAAACCGGTCCCCCAGTAGTAGTGCCCTCTTGCCCTTTTTTGGGAGAGGGTTGCCCTACTAAAATAGACCTTCCTGAAAAAAGTTGGTGCCCTTATTCTGACGTCTCCACTGGAGGACCTAGAAAAGTTCCCCGCCCCAAAACAAAAAACAAAAACAAAAAGCCAACAGCGGTCCCCCCTCGATCCAGGTCATTTGCGCGGAGCTTGAGGCCATGGAGCGCAGGCGACTGGCTAGTCTCTGGATCTGGTTGTCCTGTTCGCGGAAACCACCCAACACCATGCGGAAACCGCGTTGTTTTTTGTTTTTGAAAAGAACGATGGTTGAAAAGAATGGGGAATCAACCCCTAGAACACGAAAGTATTTCTTGGCCTGTTAGCACTGCTTGGGGGAAGGGTATGTCGCAAAAGAGGCGCCACGCCTATCCGCACTCCGAGCGCTTCGTCTCACTTCCCGAGTTCCTGGACTTGATCCGCGTTTTGGGCGAGCAGTTTGGTGGGTTTTTTAACCATCCCGTTTCTGGGCGGCGAAGCCGTTTCGGCGGTTCCTTAGCGGTTCAACCTAGCTGTTTAGATCCTTTTAGCTGGTTTAGTGGTTGGGTTTTTCCGAATTTCATCCACGAAAAGTTAGTCGCGTTTAGCGCGTGATCCGAAAACGGGCGGCCCGGGTTTGTGTTTATCCAAAAGGGGAACCCCCTTGTTCTGTCCAAAGGGTAAATTAAAGGCAGTCGCAAGCGGATGGAACCCCACCGATGCGAATCATTCAGCGAGCAGAAATTACGACGTAACAATAGAGCAAGCTCTTCAGGGATGCCATTTTTGACAGTGGCTTTGAACACAACGCAGTCAGCAAGGCTTCCGTTCGGTCTTTCGTTTTGGATCTCGGAATTTCTGACTGCTTTTTTGAGCATTGTATCTCAGGTTACCCTTTGTTGGTGGTTTGGATTGGTTTGGATTTGGATTTAATCCGATTCTCCTTAACTGTTCAAGCCGGCTCCAAACCAAACAGCCTGACACAGGGTTCTTTTTCTTGTGCGTGTTCCATGGGAAAACCGAAAGGAACACGGGGTCGGAATTCTTTGCGCCTTTTTGGGGCGGATCCAAAAAGACGGGGGCGTTTTTCGCGGGGCGTTTCGGGCCGTCGAGGTGGGGCAAGGTGGGCTCCGGGCACCGCGGCAACGAGAACTCGCCGGGGGCCTCGCGTTGGATGAAACTCGGTCCAGAAGTGCCCGACCTCTCACCCCAGAAGGCGTCCTAGGTCCAGCAAGTGGTGCTCGTTTTTTTAAACCCCTTTCTTGGTTGGGAGGGAAAGAAAAGTTCCCCTACAATAGACTACAAAAGAAAAGCTGGTAGCCTTATTCCAACCTCTCTACAGGAAGACCTAGTAAAGGGCCGATCGGGTACTTGGTAAGTGGTTAGTAAGTCTGGTTTTTTCCCGCTTAGGAGACCCTTTGCCATGGCTTTTGTGGGTATAACCAGGCTTACTACCCACTTACGAAGTACCCGATCGCCCACTTCAGGAGGAATTTGCGATGGGTTTGGTTGCGAGTTTGGGAAAGCCAAAGGGTTGCAACTTAGCGGGATCCCAAGACGGGAGTGTCATTCTAATCTGTAGACTTTAACTTTTTGGGAAATAGATGTGTTTTCCACTACACCCCAAAAAAGTTAAACTTTTTGCAGGGGGGTCAACAGCAACCAAGTAATGATGTAGCCTCTTGCTGAAGCAGTTATGAGTTGATGACGTTTCTTGTGCAAAGCCCTTCTGGAAGGCTACAATCCTCTTGGAAATGGGGGCCTCGCTCCAACCCAAATTGTTTGGTAAACCTGAACTGGTGGTTTGGATTCGGTTTGGTGGTTTGGTGGTTGGGGGTTTCCCATATACACTCTACAAAATGAATTGGACCTGGTCAAATCCTTTACCATCCCAAACCACTAAAGGGTGAGGTGAGGAAAAGCACACTCGACAAAACGGGACACCGCAACATTGGGGTACCTCCGCTCAGGCGCCACGACGCGGATTTGGTGACCGCCGGCGAGTGGCAGGAGGTCGGGCCGCGAGCGCCACAAGGGGATGCAGGGCCACATGAAGATGTAAATTCTGTGCATACTGTGGGTGGGCAAAATCCGGAAACCACTTTCAATACCATGGTTGAAACCAGTGTTCATTGGTATTGTTGCAGGGGAATCGAATCATTCCAGGGTTTCTTAGGTGGTGCAGGATTTCGTCCATCCACAGTATGATTATATTCGTATGACAGCTAGCTCGTAGAATAGAAATATTGTTCGAATGTATATGTTTGAGTATATGAAGATATTTGGCAGGAGCCGGTTCCCTCAAGTCATGGTTGAAAAGACTGCCAGGTACCGCTGCGCCACAATGGGTCAACAGCGCTGAGTTTGAAGCTTTCCAAGACTGGGAACTTACGTGCTGCCAATGTTAATATGTTCTCTCTAACTCTCTTTGCGCTCATGACGGTAGCAAGTTTCAGCTTCGGATTGTTTCGTCAGCTAAATGCCTCCTTTCACGCGGTGGCTGTCACGGCATGCCATGGCCGAGCTAACTCAATCCGGCAAACCCTTTGAATTGTGTAGGCAGGACAGCTCGGGACAGCCACCGGCCCGCACAATGGCAGATTTGTCGAACAACGAGCAAGCACCATATTGCCTTCAGAGGCAGAAGGCGCAGGGCTGCGGTTGGGAGAACATATGAAGCGAATTTTAGGAAGTAGCCCAAGTACATGGTTACATATGTATATATATATATATATATAGAGCTGTGTTTTGTATATATATATATATATATATGGTACCCCCCCCCCCAGGGACCTACCTTTTTGATGAATTCACTGGTATTTGCAGTGTTTTCTACCCTTTTTTGGGCTTTGGGGAGAGCAATGAAAAAGAAGCATTTCCAAGGACGTTCTGGAAGCTTCAGGCTTGATTGAAACCGATTTAAACCGATTTAATTTAAATCGGGCATGGATTCAAGATTCAAGACTCCCTGGAAAAGTTTGGCCTGGATTCTTCAATCTTGAATCTTGAATCCATGCCCGATTTAAGTTTAATCGGTTTAAATCGGTTTAAATCGACGCCTGGATTCAAGAATCCCTGGAAAAGTTTGGCCTGGATTCTTGAATCTTGAATCTTGAATCCATGCCCGATTTCAACTTAAATCGGTTTAAATCGAGACCCAAATTCAACATTGCACTTTGCGCGGCTGTACTTTAGCACAGTGTTGTGCAAGCATCCAAGTCCTGATTATTCATTCAATCTGTTTCAATCTAGGCCCACATTCAAGATTGCAGGTCAAAGCTTTCTAGGGAATCTTGAACCCAGGCTCAACTGCAATTTCAGTCGGTCTCAATGGGTTTCACTCGGGCCTGGACTCGCGTTTGCAAAGAAGACTTGTCTAGAGAATATGGGTTCTTTCCTTATCAAATCCTGTTAAAGCTCATATTGAATTGCAAGTATATATTGGGAAAGGAACTCTATTTAAACTCGCAATCTCAAATTTGATTACCATTAGGATTCTGACCAACTATTTCCGTATTGAGTCCCAATTAAATCCTGTTCAAGTTCAAATGAGCATTTAGAGAGCGTTCGTTGGTGGAGATGTGAGTTGAGTATGAACTACGCTACACAACACTGTGTTTTACGGTGTTTTCTGACCAAGGTAGTGTTAGGACTAGTGAAAGACACAAGTTTGGGACCCTTGGATTCTTTCCTTATGCATTCCACTTAGTATGGTTTATCAAATTCAACCTTATTTCTGTTTGAAATTCAATGGAGCTTAAGAAGGACATACTCCAGCCAAAATTGCGATTTAGATTCGAACTTAAATATTGACTGTTTATGTCAAATTAAATGGTACAAACTATTTTCTGTCCAATAGACCATTGTACATTAACATTCAATCACTTTCAGAACTAGCTAGTCCTAGTTTGGTCCTAGTCCTAGTTGGGAGATCCTTGGTTATAGGCCAAGTATGGTCCCAGCTTACTGAAATACATAGAACGTATAAAGGACATTACAAAGGAAGTTCGTTATGAATTGTAGTTAATATATTAGTCAAGTTCTATGCAACTTCTAGCTGAACAATTGAATTTGAAATAAGGAGAATATCCAGTCAGAATTTACATGTTAGGACCAAATATTAAACAGGACTTTTTTTCCACCAGAATGTAATACTTGACATCCAAATACTATAAGAAGTAGAATTAAATGGTCTAGTCCTAGTTTGGTCCTAGATGAGAGATCCTTGGTTCTAGTGTTAGGTTGCTCCCTAGTTTACTGCAATAATTAGAAAATATACACGACATTGCAGAGGAAGTTATACTTGAAGTTCATTTTTTGTAAGAATCTGAGGTGCGTCGTCTAGTCCTAGTTTGGTCCTAGTCCCAGTTCAGAGATCCTGGGTTCTAGTCTCATTTGGTCCTGGTCCTAGTTGAGAGATCGTTCCTCCCAGTCCTAAATGGGCAATTCATGCACTGGAGAGGCAGAAAAAAGGTAGGTCCCTGGGGGGGGGGGGTAGCATATATATATATATATGCATATATATGTTCCAGGCAGTGAACCCCCCCCTCTCCCGCCCCTCCCCCAGCCCCCAACACCCCGCCCCCCCCTGTAAAAAGGGGGTGGGGTGGGGTGGTTGGGTAGTTGGGGTGTGGCTTGGAGTTGGTTTAGGTTTGGAGGGTTGGTTTAGGGTTGGTTTACGGTGGGTGTTTAGGGTGGGTTTGGGGTTCGGGTTGATTTAGGGTTAGGGTCCCGGTTAGGGTTGGGGTTAAGGTAGGGATTGTAGGGTGGGTTGGTTTAGGGTAGGATGTTGCGAGAGGTGCTGGGGTGCAGGTTCACGGGGTGAAAGGGCCCGAGCATTGCCAGCATCATCCCCATGATGCACATGATGCGGGCGGGGGGGGACCCAACCCTAGGCAAACCATTCCTGCTTCTGTCCTTCTTGGCTTGGGCCGCGCTAAAAAAGCCACGCGCACGCCGGAGGATTGTCCAATGAGATTTGCGCCTTTTTTGGATCCTCTTTGGGCTCTTTTGCCCCTTTTTGGGATCCTCTTTTGGGCTCCTTGGCCCCTTTCAGGATCCTCGTTTCCGGTGGGTCCTTTTTTTTTGGATTTTGTTTGGGGTTGCTCCGATGTGGGTTGCTCCTGATTTGGAATGTCCGATGCGGGTGGCTTGTTGTGTTGGAATGTCCGATGGCGGCTCCTTTTTTGAGTTGGTTTCCCTATGCTCTTTTTTTTTTTAAGGAAAGTGAAAAGGAGAACCGTAACCTGGCATTTTGGGGCGTCATCCCAAAAAAGACAAAGCCCTTGGTGGCTGCAGGTCGGAGAGGAGTTCTTGCTTCAAGGGGTTCGGATTGGGACGCCTTGAGGGTAACTTTGGTGCATTTTGCCCAGGGCTGTTAGGACTCAATCACTTCTTGCCAACTACTGTTGGTTTTCCGAACTAAACCACTAGAAGTCAGTCACTTTTAGCAGGGCTTAGCAGAAAACAACTGAGAAAGTCATGCACTTGTTTTTGTTCAGTTGCTTCAGATGAATCCCAACCAGGCGACCCTCCAAAAAACAACCGAGGTAAAGTTGGGGCTCCGAAGCAAACCTCACGCCGGAGAAAAAGCGGATGGATGTGTGCAGGTGGTGCTCCTGGGAGACTCGCAGGAATGCCAGGAGCGGGCTTTTTGGGCTCTTCGGCGGGATGTCTTTCAACGTTTTTTTTTTTAAATATATATATATATAAAAGCAGTTCCGCCCAAAGTCCACCCGTCCGCCTTTTCAAGTCCAACCCATTGGTTTCTTCAATCCAGCCGGAACGCCGATGTGGACCTATTGGCTGAATACGTGGCTTATCCGACTTTCAGGGTGCGGGTTTGGTCCCTTTGAAACCTTTGTCACCCGAAAGGTCGACAAATTTGATTCAAACCTTTGGCACGGATGAACAGCAAACCAACAGCTCAGATTTCCGACGCTTCTCATACGACAATCCGCAAGCCACGTGTGACACATCACAGACCACCTTTGCTTATGTCGGAAATGTCAGGTTTGTGTCCCCTCCTTTTCGCAAATGGACAACGGAGCCGCTTCTGGCCGCGGGTCATGCAGGTTTTCCCTGTTTGCAACTTGACATGGTGATGCTTAGCACTCTCTCAGTGGCGCTCTGTTCACGGATATGGGGAAGCAGTTTGGCAGGGACAAACAAAAGAAACCGTCAGGAGGTTGCCATTAGTGAGCTTAGAGACACATGTGGGTATGGGTCAAAATTGAACTGCGAGGGGACTGCAGGTTTTGGTCCACCTATGTTTGACCCACAGCCATGTCACATCGCTGCACTGTCCACGTGGAGGGCGGCTTTATGCTCTAACTGCATCTCCGAGAAGCGCGTCGGCGACAACTTCATGCTGTCCCAGGCAGAAAGTTGTGAGTTTTGCTCATTTTGACCATCTGAACCTTTGATGGTTTGTTCTGTTGCTCTCTATGTTCCCCATAGCTTTGAGCTGTTGAACCAGCTAGTTGAGTTGATGAGTAAACCTTGTATCGAAAATTGGAGTTCCAGAGGCAACTTTGGTTACCTTGCCCAGGAGGAAAGGTCTTCCAGCTAAAGAAAAACAATAAATCGTACCGTTAAGCGCTTGTTTTGAGGCCGAATCCCAAACGCAAATTGTCGAAAGGACAACTGCGCCAGCTGCCCAAGGCAGGCGGCGATGTTGCTCGCGATGTTGTGCGGTGATGTTGCGCGCCTGCCAGGGAGCATTTGGGTTTGTGTTTCTGAGGGCAGCCATTTTGGGTTGGTTTCAAGGTGCAACCAACAGCAAGACCACAAGTCTTTTGTGGTTCCCTGATTTGAAGAATCCATTTAGGCGAAGTTACGCTTTCCGAGCTCCTGTTGGTCGTCTCTGCATGAGCCACAAACAAAGCCCGGACAAGCGAAAGTTTGTAAGGGACAGTCCTACCCAGAACAAGGCACGCCCGCCTTTGCCTTTCAATTTTTGAAGGGGTGCCCCTTGTCCAAAAGAATTCCAGCGTTCCAGAGTAAGTGTTCTGCAGTTCATTTATGGTTTGGGTGGGCCATTGACTCACATTTGGCAGTCCCCAAAGAGAGTCTACATGGATTGCTGCCTTTCAACCACCCCAAAAAGCGGTGGTAGCTGCTGCGGACGCAAAACTCGGAATTGTGTACTTCCCAAGGTCCGCCTTGGGGGACAGATAAGTTGTCGTGCTCCAAGCCTCAGAAAGACACACCAGGGTCATTGATGCATTTGACACACTAAGTTGAATCCTTTCGTTCTCCGTTTGGTTTTGCTTTTGAGGGACAAACGGGATGATTGATACATTCACCCTGCTACATAGTTGCTTATACAAGTAGCATGTGTAAATCTATATATACAGATGTATATACAACACTCTTCAAGTTGGGGGGAGCGTCTTTCGAGTGACCAGCTACATGTCCCGGTCCGAACTCCGCTTGCGCGAAATGCGCATTAGGACCTCCGAGCTTCTGCAAAGCTTCCCCGAGGCCCGGGATGACGTAGTCAACCTAAGGTCAAAGGAGATTGCGGTTGTATCATGGCTGTTGTCGGGACACATTTTAGATTTTTGCTTATTGTGGTTTAGTGGTTGAACTCCCCACATAACTGCTAAAGTTTAATTTGTTGCTCCCCTTCCAACGTTAATCAAGGTATTGAGGGGACCCGAGCATGGCTCCAATAAACATATTCCAGCCAAAGAATGGTTTCAATAAACATACTTGCTAGTGGGTTGGATCTTTAGACTTGAACTTTTGGGTGGAAATCAAAGGGTTTCCGACCTAAACCCGCAAACGTTATTTTTTTGCAGGGGGGTCAACAGCAACCAAGTTCCAATAAACGTATTCCAGCTTGAAACAAAGGGGAGTCATGTGTGTAACACCCAAAAGCCCATCGGTTAGAACGCATCTAGGGTCAACCAATGCATATTGCTCGTCTCATATTCACATGGTATTCCTCGAATTTCAGCCCTGAAGCATCCTGGCATTCGCTCAAAACCGGTTGTCGTGCACAAAGTTGCTTTGAGCTTCATCGTGCAAACTGGCCCACCGTAGTTGGATTTGCAAATTTGCAGCTCCTGCCAAATCCAAGTTCATTCATGGACCTGGTTGGTGGTGCACTCGCTGTGAGGGGATGCATCATACCTTTTCATTTGCCAGAGCACCAGTACCGAAAGGCGAGTTGGACCCTGTTGTGTCATGAATCCTTTGTACATTTGATATGCGCATGTCCTTTTTGAGGGTGTCCTTTTGTTTGAGGGGGGTCTTTTGGGCGCTCCCCGATTTGAGGCAACCCTGCAATTCTTACGCTTCAGACCCTACCCAACACACCGTCATACTTGATTGGTGGCAAAAACATGATGATCCTTTTGTTTCATTTACACGCACCTTTGGCCGAACCGCTCTGGGAAAGGTGCCACAACGTGCTGCCATTTAGTGTTGAGCAAGCAACGCATTCCGAGCAAGAGCACGCCTGCACTCATTCTGTCTAATGCACCGTTAAATTCAGGGCATCCAACTTCTTGGTTCGATAGATGCAGGGAATGAGAATTGGATTGGCCCCGAGAAAGACCATCCATGCGATGTTTGTTTCCTCGGACTCCCCTTTTTCCGGTTCATTCCCAACGCCCTGAACGGGCCGAGCTCCCTACGATTCGAGGGCTAGCTCCAGAAGACTGGGTTCCATCTACAGTTTCGGGAGCTTCCATGTGGCTGTGGCTCAAAAAAGTGGTACCAAAATGGCTTGCCCTGGCAAATGGAACCAAAGACTAAGACCTGCGGTTTGCCCCAGCTGTTGAATTTTGAGCCACAGCCATGTTAGTCATGTTAGTCACTTACCTCTTAAAAGCACAACTTTTCAATTTTTTGGGTAACATGGGCTATATGTCTGTAAAAGATTAACTTCCCCAGGGCTTGGAGTTTTAAGGGGTAAGGTCATGTTAGTCTGAGGCTACCTCAAATTCCCACCGGACGAGAGACGCTCTGGCTCCAGCTTTAGTCTTCGCAGCTCAGAGAGAGGAGCTGAGATGGTGAAGCCCTCAGGAAGATGTCCCAGACCATCAACGTCGATTCGCTGAAAAGAATATGTTTAGTGTTGTGCCTTTGGTTTTAAAGGGAATCTGCAACACTACGAGAGATTGTGTTCTCTTCCAGGTGGCAAAAAAACAATAGAAGTCAGCCATGTTCGGCTAAAAGAGGCACCGACGGGAAGTCGAAATAGGTTCAAGCATGTTGTGAAAAATGCCCAAGGGCAGAAGGTGACGAATCAAAACCATAGAGACCTGTTCAGCTTCCCTCGTTTGGTGGTTTGGTGCCCACTGGTTTCGGGGTTGAGGAGGGGTCGACCCCAGTTACCCTCTGCAAAAGCCAGGAGTTGAAATCCAATTCCAACAAATCCAAAACACCAACTAAGGTTTGCAGCAAGAACTATTTTTTGACAGGTCGGGCTGAGAAGGCATTGCTCTTGTTGGCTTAGGAACATGTTGATGTTCCCTTTCGTTTTTAAAAGGGAATCTATCACTGAACATATTTTCCATTTTTCCAGGGACACGATTGCTATTGGCCCACCCTAGCTCCTTTGGACCAGCTGCGATCTGGGCCCATCAGAGTGACGCTCTCAAATTCAACCCTTAGAAGTGTCCTTTTCCCAGTTTTCCAAGCCACCTTTTTTGGTTGAGCCGGGCCAAACCAAAAAACACAGGTTGGGCAAATTGACATAATATGAGCGTCCCCAAAAAAAAAACACCCCGAAGCTGGCAGCCCTACATCAGAAAACGGCTGGTGACTGAGGCATGGAAGCATGCAGCTTCAAATCCACTGTGCCCTTGGCAGCACGGGATCTGTGCTATGTGTTTCAGGGCTGTATTGGAAAGAACGATGGTCGAAAAGAATGGAAAAGGAATGAATCCCTAGAAAGTTGTGCATATGTGCCCCTAAGCAAAACAAGTGTTGGATGCCGAAATCGAAAAGGCTAATGTGAGCGAGTCCGACGTGCAGAATCCCCGCCCCGATTGCTAACTTTGTTGTCGGGATTCGAAGCTGCGCTTGTGGGATTATCCCCAGCCCCCCCCCCCCCCCCCGAATTCCATCTATTGTCCCCTTTTATGGTGCTATTCAACCCCCTCCCGCTGAAGGTGGGGGTGATGCGGGATTGAGTTTATGTTTATGTGACTTGTTGATGTTTTCCTCCGCAAGTTGGCAGGGCTTCCGCGCAGGGACCCCCGGCACTCAGCAAAAGGTGGTTATATATATAAACTTATGCGGCAATCATTGGAACTTATTAGGTGGCTTTTAAGTAACATTCAGGGTAGCTGAGGCTGTTTTCATGCTATCTGGGTCTGGGACGTATTTCCCAGATCTTTTTAGATGTATTCCAAAGCGGTTGCTTGGCACATTTGAGTTGGCGTTTTAGTCAGCTTTAGTTGACGCCGCTCTACCGCTTTGCATCAGTTGGAGTACCAATCATCCGCTCAGCTTGTTTGGCCCAAGCTGGTAGTAGCAGGGACCCAAAAATTACACATTGTTCCATCTCGTGCCGTAATTTAGTTGGACAGGCCCTTATTGTATGCGCCCTCAATTGAACAAAGTGCAAGTAGTCACCTTGAGACTCTCAATTCCGGCCCCATTTTTTTGGTATTTGGGTGTGTCTTTTGAGTCTTTGAGGGATGCCCTAGACACTTTCTGGGCTTTTTTTCGCCTGAAGGCAACCAAGCAGTCCCCCCATTCAAAGGCAAGCCCATGTGCTCCTGAGCATCCCACACTCGAGCTGAATTTTGCGGAGGGTGGCCCTTGGTCTGGAGATTCAGCTGGAGTGGTGACTGTTGTCTTGGTGGCTCAACCGAAGGCCATCCGGTTCAACTTTGCCTTTTATATTTTTTGGCTGGTTTAGTGGTAGTTTCCCATTTCACCCACGAAAAGTTAGTCATTTTGAGCGGGGGATCCGCAAACGGGCAGCCCAGTTGTTTCTGCCAGGCGCTGCGCCAGCTCGCTTGTTTGCTGGTTTTGAGCCGAATCGGTGGTTTGAACCCTGTTTCGCGCGTCGTCCGGGCGTTCGCGCTGAGGTGGTAAGTGTCTGGACTGCAGTTTATGAGAGATTCGGAGGGCGAAGTCCGGACGAAAGTTGCGATTTTGCTTCTTTTGACCGTTGGGGGGGCTGGGGAGCTGGTCGTTGCAGGCAGTAGCCAGGCCTCAGGTTTGGTTTTCCGTGGGTGTTTGTTTCTGCGAGTTTGGAGGGGTTTGGTTTGCGCTGGATGGGTTTCTTGCAAGCGGGCCCTTCAAACCAACCTGAAAAGGGCACCCGGTGGCGGGTTATGGCTGATAACATAGCGGTAGATCATTGCTCGTCTCGGGTGTCTTCAGAAGCGACTTGCGGAGAAGATCCGGAGCAAGCCCACGAGCAGTTCTGGTGACAAGCATCACATCGCACCTGATACCTCGGTCTGATTCATTGAAAGAACCTCATGTGATGGGTCAAAACTTGTCACCACCCAGATATGGACCGCAGGTAAAATCGTGACCCGTGTTTCCATTGAGTGTCCAATGTTGGGGTTACCCTATGTTTCACCCACCATTTCTTGACTGCTATTGGGCAACGGATCTTTAGACTTTAACTTGTTGGTTGAAATCAAGGTTTGGGTTTTCCGATCTAAACCCACAAAAAGTTATTCACTTGGCTGTGGGTTAAACAAATGTACCCAAAATGGAACCCTGGTAAGCGGAAACATGGACCAAAACCTGCGGTCTCCTGGTGGTTTGGTTTTGACCCACACCCACTTTTTGCAGAGGGGTCGTTACAGCAACGAAACCGGCTCATGGCATGCCGCGATGGTCCGCGCTGGCGGCTCGGCGCGACATCTTGGCGGAGACGCAGGTCTACGTCCTTTGCATCCTGCCACCTCCATTTGGTTAAGAGTATGTTTTATTTTCCGCTGTTGGTTTTAAAGGGAATCTATCACTACTGGAGTTTGTTGATTTTTTCCAGGACTTAAACAAATGGAGGTCCCCTGGAATGATTTGGTTTTTGCATTGTCTCAATTCCTGAGTTCATGAACTTTAAGCTTTTTGGGTTTGGACCGTTTTAGTGGTAAATATAAAGTTTGGACTTGTTTGGGCCATCCACTCAGCAAGTGAGTTGCTTTTTCTTGGTTTGGAACAGGGAAGCAACTTTACTGCTGGATGTGTTTAAAATGCTTTTGTTTTTGCATTTTCCCCTGTTGGTTTTGAAGGAAATCGATTTCATTGCTGGACATATTGTTTTTTTGACCATGGGGCTTAACTTCCCCTGCTGGTTGTAAACGGAATCGATTTCACTGCTGAGAATATGTGTGTTTTCGTTTTTTTTGTATTTTCCATGCGACGCATCAGCGAATGGAGGTATCCCAGCGAGGAAGCGGCATGCTGCAAGTCTGATGGCCCAGTGGAGCTTTGACGCCCAACTGGTGGACGGGCCCGACAAAAGCCAGCTGGATTTGGAGGAGTTGATTCTTGGTGGC